TGATGAAAGGTCAGGTTCCACTTTCACTTGCAGAGCGGTTGCGACGAAAAGGTGATCTTCGGTGTTTATTAACTGATGTATATGTGTTGGATTTCTTCACTTCTCGCTCCATAATGACGCCTTGATTACACTGATTTTATATATACTGAAGTCTTCCTTTCGGTGTTCGTAACGGGATCTTCTTCTAGGTGTTCGTAACGGGATTTTTTCTTCTCGGTGTATATAACGGGGTCACCACTGTAATAGTGGGAATAAGCGGTCCACTAATAACAGACTCTGAGTGGTCTAGTGGCGGAGAAATGAAACTACTATTTATGTATAAACGAATGGTATATCAGGTATTGAATATGGAATACGGAATATGGAATATGAAATGAATTTTACGTCGACCCAGCCTATATTTATATGTTCGGCTACGTCGTTAGTTAACCAATAGTAACAATTTTTATTTGCCTAACCAATTACAGTATATACATTATGACCAATAAAGATTATTTAAAATACAACTATTATGTACGTTCCATTTGCCGGCCTGAGACTCGTGTTATATTCTCGTATCTACGTGGCTAGACTGGGCTGTAAAAGTTGTATAGGTCGGCGCGCGCGCGCCAATGATTATAAATAGCTTAATTGGTATAATGGGCGGTCACAGAATCGTAAAACCCCCCGCGCGCGCGTAGTCGGCGAGCGGCGGCGGCGTGGGACACAGCTCCGGAACAGCAAGGAGAAGCGAGCTGCGGCGTTGAAGAAACGGCTTCAAAATGGTCGACGGATACATAACGATAGCGGCGTGTGAAGACGATGTGGCGCTGAATGATATTTGCGGCTGCTTCTTGTTTCTTTATTAGAACGTTAAACATATACGTCAAATTATCAATATGCAGCCCACAGTATCTCGGTAGCCGGGGATAGTTAGGAAATAAAGGTTTTCTTCGCCTTCTGTGTTATGGTAGCAGCAGGGTATATATTATTTATTGCCGATTAGCCTGGCTGCTACATATATAAGTGAAGCACATAAGTCATTTAACTAATTTTGCCATTCTAAATAATCTTTTAGGCTATAGAAACAATTTTCCAATAACCATTTCGTTAAATTATTTTTTGAAAGAGGCTCCTTCTTTTTTCTTTTAAATTTATGGGTAGTGTGTGAAACACACTTACCGGGGTGTGACTTCAATGCGGCTTGAACGCTTCCGATGCTGCGGTGCGACTTCTGGCGGATCTCCTGGGGCCTCAAGGATGCAGTCCTGGCCGGTGGTGCGATGGAAGAGAGTGAGAGGTGTGTGACGATATCTCACACTAGGTGAGGCGGTTACTCCTGGAGCTCGACTGCTCTAGGTTGGTGCGGTTTGAAACTAGCGGTGCGCGTGGGCATGAGCCCTCTAGGACGCGACTGTCCCAAGCGGTGTGGTTCCAATCAGCAGCGCAAAGGCAAGAGAGTGCTCGAGCCCAGCGCGCGAACTTATATCGGATTCTTTCCCAACGAAGTCAGGCGCTCTTCTCATTGGTTGCGAGAATCACGCAACATTCTAGAATCTCTGCTTTCCCCTCTCACCCCACCACCCCGGTGTGTACGGAAGGGATAGGTCGAAGGAAGGACAACGCTTGGCAAGCATACCCTCGAATAAAATAAGATACGAATGGTTTTCCGCGCAACCAGATATACTGTCTATTAAGTTACTTCTTAAACGCCTTGTTGTAGTATCATGGCAGGTTTTAAAATACTTGAATGGAATTGAATGGAATGCTTTGACAAAAAGACAGGCTTCTCTGAAATATAAACAAGGAAATGTAAGAATATTATATTTTTTAAAGTAAGGTTTACAAATATCTAAATACCAAATGTTCCCTAAGGCACGAATGCATCGTTTTTTGAACTAAAAGTGCTCTTTCTACTTCAACAGAGTTACCCCAAAGCAATATCCCATAGCTAAGCACCGATGATACGTAGCCAGGGCGTTAAGTTCAGTCTGAGTCTACCTGAATATGCCAAAGGTATACATGAGGATATACATGACCCAACCGTTATATGCGTGCTTATTCACACTGGACAAAAGACTGTTAAGCACTTTGGTCAAGCGTGCATAAAACACGTCGCAAACTGACTGCTTCATACCAGCCTCATCGATACCGATGTTTTGTGACATACCCAGGTATCGGTATGTTGTAGTCTCGGAAATGGTCTTTAAGTTGACGGACATAGATAAATCTGTGCACGCAGAGTTAGCACCCCTTCCTCTTTCAACATGGAAGACCGCACACTTATCCGTTCCCAGCTCTAATAGAATTGCAAAAATTACAAGTGATTTTTAGCAATTCCACAAGATGGGACTGGAGGCGAACAACTTGAGGTCATCCATATAGAAAAGGTGGGTCACTTTTATACCTCCTTTCCGAATCTGAAAACCCCTCCCGGAGCACTCCAGTAAAGTACTGAGAGGGTTCAGAGAGAGGCAGAACCAGATTGGACTCAGACATCATTATTATTATTGTGGGGTATTAGTAGTGTATTCTCGCCTGGTTGAGCTGAATAAATATATAAAAGGAAATAATAAATACACATAAATATATATTTCATATACTATTATTATTGGGGGGTATCTATATAGTTTTCTCTTCTGGTTGGGATCTATAAATATATAATTATAAATGAAAATGAAAAGATTAATATATACATAAATATCAATAAAATAAAATAAATACAAAAATACATAAATAAATAAAAGCCCAACCAGATGGAAGCCCTCGGCAGGGGAGACCAAAAGGCCGAGGGTTAGGGGGAAAGGGAAGGAAACCGGCGGACGATGCGGGCAGTATCAAGGAGTACCGCCTTCTGCATTTGAGCCCGGAGCAGTCCGTCACGGAGTCCCAGTCGCCTCAGATGACCAGAGAGGCTAACTGGGATTAGCCCATTCGCAGAGACGACTACAGGAATAATTTCGGTCGGCAGACCACTCCACATGTCGGTCACCTCGTAAGCCAGGTCCAGATATTTTGATTGCTTATCTGTTTCGGCTTTCACGAGGTTCTCGTCATACGGTGTGGTAATATCGACCAAAAAATATCCTTGACTGCGCCCGGTCCATCAGCACAATATTAGGCTTATTCGCAAGAATAGTCCTGTCTGTGATAATGTCCCGGTCCCAGTAGAGCCTGGCACGGTCATTTTTGAGCACGGCTTCCGGCAAGTACTTGTAATACGGCAATTTCCGGTCCACGAGACCGTATTTCAGAGCGAGCCTGATGTAGAATTCTGGCTACTAGGTCGTGCCTGTGCAAGTACTCAGAGTTAGAAAGCGCCGAACAACCGGAGATGACATACCTAAGCGATTCACCGGGATGGCGACAAGCTCGACAGACGTCGACGGTGGCATCCTTTAGGATGTATCTCCGATAGTTGTTGGTCTTAATAACCTGATCCTATATTGCACAGACAAAACCCTCTGTTTCCCCGAAGAGGTCACCAAAGCGTAGCCAGTTGAGGGAGGCGACTGTATCTACGAAGGGCTCATGAAGAGCCCTGTAGTACCTCCCGTGGAGCTCCTTCTATTTCAATACGGTCTCCCGGTCGGAAATGCTAAGCACTGTTGGGTCCTGCCATTGCTCGAGAGCTAAGGATAGAGGGGTAAGCCCTTTATCACTAGAAATGACGTCATTATAGAATGGATCATCCGATCTCGCCAGGAAGTAATCACGGAGGCTGCACACTTAGCGATTATGCATGGTGAGCGCGCTTAGAAAACCACGCCCACCATGCTTTCGCGGTAAGTAGAGCCTCATTACCGACGATCTCGGATGATGCATCCTATGGGACGTCATGGTAGTGCGGACTTTTCTATCCAGGGCGTTAAGTTCGGTCTGAGTCCACCTGAGTATGCCAAAGGTATATATGAGGACAGGCATGATCCAACCGTTATTGCGTGTGTCTTATTCACACCGGACAAAAGGCTGTTAAGCACCTTGGTCAAGCGTGCATAAAACACGTCGCAAACTGACTGTTTCATACCAGCCTCATCGATACCGATGTTCTGTGACATACCCATGTATCGGTATGTTTCAGCCTCGGAATGGGTCTTTAGGTTGACGGGCATAGATAAATCTATGCCCTCAAAGTTAGCAACCCTTCCCCTTTCAACATGAAGGACCGCACATTTATCCGTCCCCAGCTCCATTCCAATAGAATTGCTACATTCACAAGTGATGTTTAGCAATTCAATAAGATGGGAGCGACTGGAGGCGAATAACTTGAGTTTATCCATATAGAAACGATGGGTTACTTTTGTTCCTCTCTTCCGTAGCTGAAATCCTCTCCCGGAAGCCTCCAGTAAGGTACTGAGAGGGTTCAGAGAGAGGCAGAACCAGATTGAACTCAGACAATCGCCCTGGAAGATACCCCTTCTTATCCTTATGTGGTTCACCGCAGCCATCATCCGCTCGCCAATCTTGTACAGCTCGAGGACCCTCTTTAGCCATGTATAGGGCACCGAGTCAAATGCCTTTCTGTAGTCTATCCAGGCGGCGGAGAAGTTCCGGCGGTTGCGTTCACCACTTTGCCAATGACCGTAATGAGGAGTGGTTCCTTGGTTCCACGATCACCGCCCCCGACATCCATTTTGAGCGCGTGACATCACCTGATTTAGCTCCAGGTGACGAGTGATTCTCGCGCTCAAAATGGATGTCAGTGTCTTATATATAGTGGGTAGACACGTGATGGGGCGGTATTTGCTCGGATCTGTGGTATCCTGATCTCTAGGAACCAAGTGAGTGATCCCTGTAATGAAGAGGCTCGGGAGCGACTTCTGATCGAGAGCCTCTTGATACCGTCAGGCGAGCACAGCGTGACACACTACGAACCCCTTCAGCCAGTAATGATGCAGCCCGTCGAGCCCCGGACTTTTCCAGTTCGGGGCCCTACGGACCGCCTCAGCCACGTCTTCAGGCGTTATGGTGACGAGGTCCATATGCGTAGCACTTGCACTCTGGCTTACCACAACTTCCATTCAAGGACCCTCGCTGTGGTTTACGGGCTCTGACCACAGGCCACGCCAAAATGCGACAGTGTCAGCCTGATCCGGTCCTGGGCCCGCTCCACATACCGATGGTCGCTCCAATGATTTATAGAGCCTCTTCTGATCACTGGAAGAGACTATTCTGGTTGAACCGCCTTGACCTCTCGCTCGCTCGTCCAGCCATGGGAAGTTTGGCGCCAATAATACGTTATACTGCCGTGCGGCGCCAAAAAGAATTGGGTCCGTCTCGCAAAGGTCCCGGCTGGCTTCCAAATAGGTCACCAGGAAGTCGCGGTCGATTTTCGAGAGTATGATGCGCGTTTTCAGCATCGACTCTTCCAATATGCTCCTCATTTTCTCTAGTTCGCGGGGGGACTATTCCATCATCGTCTGAATCAACCACAATTGACGGCAGCGTCCACATTTGCAGTTTGCTGCGCAATTAGTGGCGCCGCATTTCCATCCGATGAGGGAACAGCCTCACGTCGTAGTCGTTCGAGTTCGGCGTCACCAAATATATTGCAACATAGCGCAGGATGTAACGAACTCGGTCTGCCAGGTTTTGCTCAGTGGCGGATAGAGATGGCTCCAGCTCTGCAAAAAAGCGATGCATCCGAGCCCGATATGCAAAACATCCGGTTTCTTCCCCCTTTTGCCCTAAAATTGCTGCTACCCATCTCCTGTTTAAATATTCCGGTACTACACTTGCGTGATGATATTAGAGAGTATACTTTACACTACAAATAATGAATTCATAATTCATAGAAGTACCGATTAGTGAATTTTTACAACAACTAAATGATAATAACATATTCAATTCCAAATTTAAGATAATTACTATAATTATGTATGTCGTTGCTATCATTTATTTGAAATCATAAATTAAATTCTTCTTATAAAATATTAAAACATAAAGAAAAATGTAATTTAGAAAATTATACTATATTACTAAAATCTTAAGCTTAAGTAAAAATTACAAGCTAAACCGCTATCTGCATTCTGTTGGTGGTGCCATAAAACTAGCTGAATTACCTCGTTGTATTGTTAATGTAATCCAATCCTGAACAAATCATCTGCCAACATTTGAGTCACCAGAGACATAGCATGACGAGATATCTCTGTGCAAACTTCGTGATGCAGTTCCCCCAGGAGTTCTACACAAAATATCACAAACATGTATCCTTCACGGAGGACAGTATAATTGCGCCGCTTGTTACTCTGCTACAGTAGCAGCCCTGCCTGCCTTGTGTAGTCGCCAGGAGGTAGTATGAAGCAGTGTCAAAATCGTATTCAACACCAAAGTGCGTCTGTTTTCCAATGGAATGTGCATCATTCATCAGATCGCTTGCAGTCATCCCGCACTATACCATTTGACCGGTATATTGAGCTAAATGCATTTTCAACATCTACCTTTAGCATCATCTCAACATCCTTGGGCTTCACAAAGGTGCGCGAAGCATACACAACCACAGAAGTTATTCGCCTTTTATCCTGAAACCTAGCTACAAGGACTACGAGGACAGTCTAGACGTGTTTGCAGCAAGCCTTTGAATACGGCGAATTAATTTATACATCGTATTTCAGGGCGCACAAGTGTGCTCCATAAAGTACCTGCGTTGCGTTGTGACTGTGCTGAAAATAGGCCTCCCCCATAGATTGCGCAACTGAGGGAATTTACCATAGTTGTCACGTTTGTTAGGCGGCTTGGCAACCGAAGTTTTTATCAGAAAATGCCATGTAGTCTCGTTGTTAGAATATCCACTACCCCTTATCGACCTGTGGGTATCGTAAGAGATGACTTAGGGAAACCGAAACAGGAAACGGGAAACGATTGTATTTAAATTGCAAAAGAGGATCATTATTACATTTTGTTAAAATGTCTTTATTTGCACTATAAATGAAAAATTTACCAAAATTTTGGAATTTTGGGATGTTCGCATTATTATGCTTGTAATTTATGATCTTGGGATTACTGAAGAGGCTACGACTTTTTTCCCTAAAAAGTTAACGCGTTTAATTTCAGTCACATTGAAAACTAAATAAATTTAAACTTAATCTTGCCAGTTTTATTATTTTTTAACATAAAATAAAATTAAAAAAAAATCGTTGTCACTGTACTCGAACTATAAACGAATAATATTCAGTCCTGCGCTACCTCGCCGTCAACTTAAATAATATTTATTCATAAGTAGCGATCTGGCCCAGCTTTGCAAGGGTGATCTCTGGATTCTACAACAGCGCTACCTACCGAATCGAACTAAGTCAACCTTCGCGAAAGTGCAAGCAAAATATTAACAAAATTTTACCGCAATCTTATTAGCGAACCTGAGGCCGGGTCCCCATTTTATCATCTTGGTGTATTGCACCTCTGTCGAATGGCGCAGACGTTTAGCTTGCTTGCTAGATTCGCCGCAAACACACGCACGCACGCACACACACACACACACACACACACACACACACACACACACACACGCACACGCACACACACATGCACACGCACACGCAACGCACACGCACACGCGCACCCGCACGCACACGCACACGCACACGCGCACGCGCACGCACACGCACACGCGCACCCGCACGCACACGCACCCGCACACGCACACGCGCGCGCGCACACACACGCGAGCGCGCACGCACGCACACACACACACACACACACATACACACACACACACATACACACACACACGCGCGCACACACACACGCACGCACGCACGCACAATACACACACACGCACGCACGCACGCACATATACACACGCACGCACGCACGCACGCACCCACGCACGCAAGCACGCACGCATGCACGCACGCAAGCACGCACGCACGCACACACGCACGCGCACACACACACACACACACACACACACACACACACACACACACACACACACACACACACTGTTACTGTGTAGATAAATGTATTCAAAAAGATATCTATAATATTTGCCCTAGCTAATTAATGACGACGCGATTAGACGCGAGAAACCAGGAGTGAACGGCTCTCAAAAGCGAGGTGCGTAATCGCACAGTGCAGCTCTTCCCAAACGTCTCTGGAAACTTCAAGTTAACCACAGTAAATTCCTGCGTCATATTACAGGAGCACTTTTTGTATCAGAAACGCAGATCTCCACCGCGATCTCGATCAACCCACAATCCGGTTGTATCTTTAGGATTTATCCTTAAGATACTTCTGTTTGGTTAAAGTTCTATCATCCGTTGGTAGTAGAGATGGGTAAGTAGTTTCTAGAGAATGGGGGTCCCCTTCTCATAGATGCAGATGTCTATGGGCCACAGAAACCACTTACCATCAGGTGGACTGTGTGCTCGTTTGTCACTCTATCTTATAAACAATAAAAATAATAATATCGTGTGAAATATATTCAAAAAAAAAAAAAAAAAAAAAAAACATACAATCGGTTTGTAAATCTCCACCTTTATTAAGACGTCTAAAGATGACACGTTCATTGTGGGTTTAGGTGATATTCACATGATGTATATGAAATAGCCAATTCTTTGCTATTTTCTCACGCTAAATGTTTACCGTTAATGTTTCATTTTTATAACCGGCTGAAGTTATCTGTTGTATCGTTGTAATATCGTCCGTCCGCTTTAGGAAAACTTTACACAAAAAAATTACATAATTTTAAGACTAATCGGTATTCGTATTCGATATATAATCTGCCATTTGCTTTTGAAATTAACGCAATATCTTATTATTAGATTAGAACAACAACAAATTTCATGAAACAAAATAGATCGGATTATTTAGGGAATTTACCTTACACATTAAAACCTGCAACGTATAATATGTTAAGAAAATTAATGGTTTGGCATTTACAGGTTTACCTTGTAGAATAAGTAAATATTTATTACTAAAACGCACAATAATAGCTCTGAATATATCCTGGCTATATTTTTAACAAGTAAAAATCACATAGGCATTTTGCTTTCTCTTCTTTCTCTAAAGTAATATTTGTCCGTGGCCTATGTGATAATTAAAATCTATCTTACATCAATTTTACTGACTTGACTAACGAAACATAGTGACATAATGTACACGAAATTAAGTAAGAATTTTTTTGCACTCAAGGGGCCATTAATTATAAGTTGGTCATGTTGCCGGATACAACATCTCAACGAAACAGAAACTTTTTTATTCAATATAGATTATAAATAGTTATTGAAAATCACTATTTTTAAATTACCACTGGTTCGGAAAAAACCTCTGTCCTGGTAAGAACCAACAAGAAACCCAGCGGGACTATTTTATTTTAAATAATAGCTTACAATAACAATAGTAGCGATCACCCTTCCCAGGGGTTATTATTATCTATAATTTCCTTAATATTGTAATCACCCTTTTTATACACACTTGGTTTAATAAAGTTTTTAAACTTTGTGAAGGTCAAATTTTGTATATTTTCTGTGATTTTTTTGTAAAAGCGTATACATTGCCACAAAAATGAATTACTGAATCGGTGGAGTTGAATAAATGGTATTACTAGCTTGTTCCCTTTTACTAGTACTTCTTTGCCAGTACTTACAGAATGGATATCACTTATTTTTGTAAAACTACTTTTATATATACTATTATTTGTATACGAACATTACATTTTTATAAATGTATTGAGAGGCCAAAGTTAATATATTTAGTTTTAATTTTAGTCTAAGCGACTCTTTACTCTAATGTCCTGTTCTGTAAAAAAAATAATTTTATTGTCAGTCGCGTATCCCCATAGCAAAGTACCATACAATATTATGCTATAGAAATAGCTGAAGTAAACTAGTCTACCTGTTTAAACGCTGATAAGATTTCCAATATTTTTACCATTCCCTCCCCATTTAAAATTACATTAGCATTAACATGTTTGACATTCGAATTTACGAATTTCATACATTTATTTTTAGTGCCAATTAAATACAAAATACTAATATTTATAACAATTTACTAACGTAGATATAGCATTATTTACTTCTTATTAATTTATTAACCATCGTTTTAATTTGAAAATAAATGAAGTATCATCAGCAAATAATACTATATCACGAAAACACGAAGGGGCCGAAAATTGAGTCCCGAGGCTCGCTAATTTGTACTATCAATCTTGAAGAACTCATTAAGTTAATGACAACTTTTTGCGTTCTGTTACTTAAATATGAAAATTTTAATCTCAATTAAAAGTATCACTTTTTACACTGTAGTAAACCCCCACAGGTGCGCCCACAGGGTCCCGGGTTAGGTCCGGGAATAATGACCCCGAAATATCGATGTGCGAATGACGAAAGTGGAGTGTATGTACGTAGTTGGCTATAACCTAAACAAAATGGCTGACGTGGCACGTGGCAGGCTTTGGACAATGCACTTGTTACGAATCAATTTACTATACTTAGCCAGTACTTTTGTAGAGGAACAAACATGAGCTGCCAGGAAAATACCAATAACGGATAAAAAACAGCTCAATATTAATAGGAGAGCGATGTAGACTTTACAGTACGCGAGCAACCCGGGTTCGAACGAAATTTTTTATTGCAATTTTAAGCACTGACTTACCACGTGTTTGGCGGTGAAGTAAAATATCGTGAGGAAACCTGCATGTCTGAGAAATATGAAAAAAAAGTATTTCGAAGACATGAGATGTTTGCCAACACGCATAGGGGCATTGCGGCGGTTTTACTTGCCCTAAAACCATTTTAGAAATGAAAACTTTTATTTTATGCCCTGGGCTTACCCTCCTTATTCTTTTGAGATATTTAGAAGAAATCGAGTTATAAGCGAAATTGTTATTTAGTTTCAGTAAATTAGTTAATACCATTCGATGATAAAATACATGGGTATGGGTATCTTCCAGGGCGATTCTCTGAGTCCAGTCTGGTTCTGCCTCTCCTTGAACCCTCTCAGTACTTTACTGGAGGGCTCCGGGAGGGGATTTCAGCTTCGGAAAGGAGGTGCAAAAGTAACCCACTTTTCTATATGGATGACCTCAAGTTATTCGCCTCCAGTCGCTCCCATCTTTTGGCTAAACATCACTTGTGAATTTAGCAATTCTATTAGAATGGAGCTGGGGACGGATAAGGACGATACGGACGGGAAGGGTTGCTAACTCTGAGGGAATAGATTTATCTATGCCCGTCAACTTAAGGGCCCTTTCCGAGGCTGAAACATACCGATACCTGGGTATGTCACAGAACATCGGTATCGATGAGGCTGGTATGAAACAGTCAGTTTGCGACGTGTTTTATGCACGCTTGACCACCATCTGGTTGGATCTTATTTATTTATATAGTTTTTGTGTTTATTTTATTTTATTGATATTTATGTATATTTATCTTTTCATTTTAATTTATAATTATATATTTATATACCCAACCAGGTGAGAAAATTATATAGATACCCCAATAATAATAATAAATTATTAGAGTCTATTATAAAAATAATAATAATAATAGACTCGGACTCTAGCCTCTCGCCCTGGAATATATCCCTTCTTATCCTTATACGGCTTTCCGCAGGCGTCATCCGCTCGCCTAGATGACAGAGGATCGTACTCCACTGCCCCATACACTGCTCGAGGAAGTCTCGAACTGTACAGTCAATCTTGTGCAGTCAAGCCCCAGACTTTTCCAGTTCGGGGCCCTACGGACCGCCTCAGTCATCCGGCGTTATGATGACGGGGTTCATGGGCGTAATACCCGCACACTGCCTCGCCACAACTTCCGAGGCCGAGAAGTTGGGCGAGGAGTGCGGGCCTACGGGACCCCGTCATCATAACGCGGATGACTGAGGGGTCCGTAGGGCCTAGATTTTCCAAGGGCCCTCGTTGTGGTTTACGGGCTCTGACCACAGGCTGCGCCAGAATGCGACCGTGTCGGCCTGATTTGGTCCTGGGCCCGTTCCACTTACTATTGGTCGCTCCAATGATTTATAGAGCCTCTTCTGATCACTCTGGAAGAGACGATTCTGGTTGAACCGTGTCGACCTCTCGGTATATCGCCGAATCCGCTTTCCCCAAGCAGCGATTCTTTGCTTCAGGTCGTCTATGCGCTCCGTCAGTTTTTGCATTATATCCGGCTGGGACAAACTAACATTTGGCCCAGCAAACGCCATCCTGACGGTGCGCACAATCCTTGGCCTGGTATTGCCTGACCTGAAGCATATCAGTCTGCCGATGAGGGCCCTAGCCTTTGCGATACGTTCTTCAATTCTTATTCTCCAGGCTGGGATAGCACTACTTTGTCCAGTAGCGCGTCCAGCCGTGGAAAGTTTGGCACCTATAATACGGCAGACTGCCAGTGCGGCGCCAAAAAGAATTGAGTCCGTCTCGCAAAGGTCCCGGCTGGCTTCCAAATAGGTAACCAGCATTGGATTCAGAGCCCTCACGACAGCCCGATTCCGCTTGCTTAGGGCTAAGCGGGGGAAGTCGCGGTCGATTTTCGAGAGTCGTACTGCGCGTTTCCACAATCGCCTCTTCCAATGTACTCCTCATTTGCTCTAGTTCCAGTTCCTGGGCGACTATTCCATCATCGTCTGAATCAACCACAACTGGCGTGTTCACGGCGGCATCTACATTTGCCGTTTGCTCAGCAAATTGTGGCGCCGCATCCTCAGCCGCAGCATTTTCACCCGATGAAGGAACAGCCTCACGTCGTAGCCGTTCGAGTTCGGTAACATCAAATGTATTTGAGCGCAAGATATACCGAACTCGGTCTGCCAGGTTTTGCTCGGTGACGGTTACAGATGGCTCCAGCTCACCAAAAAGTCGATGCATCCTTGCCCGATACGCAAAAACCTCCAGTTTCTCCCCCTTTCGCCCTAAAATACGCCCGCAATGCGTTGCTGTACATCTGGGTTGTCCAACGCATGCGGCGCACTCCACCAGAGGCGGGTGCCGATTGCTGGGCCCGCGAAGACCCTGCCGACACCAAGCCAGCTGGTGGGGATGATGGATGCGAGGGGCTGCTGGGTGGTCGTGCAGCACCTCGCGCTCGGCTGGCGGTTCGCATGCTGTCGCGTCCAGCGCCAGCTCCAGACGCGCCCTGGCGACCTCCAGGCAGCGGCCCTTTGCGCGTTCTATTTAATTCCATCATCCATTTTTAGGGCGTCATTTAGCGGGAGACGCCCAGACCCGGCGCCGTTTCATGGTGAGGCCATGTGCACAAGCGGGCCTTTGCACCTTCAATTTTTGCCGAGGCACGGCACTAACACCTCTTGGCAAGGTGCTGACTGACTGCGCTGACGTAGCGGTTTTGTCACATGACCGTTACGTCAGCGGGCGATGGGGTCGTCACTTCCCTACGCCATTTTATTATTATTATTATTATTATTATTGTGGGGTATCTATATAGTTTTCTCATCTAGTTGGGATGTATAAATATATAATTATAAACGAAAATGAAAGGATAAACATACATAAATATGAATAAAATAAAATAAATACAAAAATACATAAATAAATAAAAGCCCAACCAGATGGAAGCCCTCGGCAGGGGGAGACCAAACGGCCAAGGGTTAGGAAGAAAGGGAAAGAAACCGGCGGACGATGCGGGCAGTATCAAGGAGCACCGCCTTCTGCATTTGAGCCCGGAGCGGTCCGTCACGGAGTTCCAGTCGCCTCAGATGACCAGAGAGGCTAACTGGGATTAGCCCATTCGCAGAGACGACTACAGGAATAATTTCGGCCGGCAGACCACCCCACATGTCCGTCACCTCGTGAGCCAGGTCCAGATATTTTGATTGCTTATCTGTTTCGGCTCTCACGAGGTTCTCGTCATACGGGATGGTAATATCGACCAAAAATATCCTTGACTGTGCCCGGTCCATCAGCACAATATCAGGCTTATTCGCAAGAATAGTCCTGTCTGTGATGATGGCCCGGTCCCAGTAGAGTCTGGCGCGGTCATTTTCGAGCACGGCTTCCGGCAAGTACTTGTAATACGGCAATTTCCGGTCCACGAGACCGTATTTCAGCGCGAGCTCCTGGTGTAGAATCCCAGCCGCCTCAGATGACCCGAGAGGCTGACTGGGATTAGCCCGTTTGCAGAGACGACTACAGGAATAATTTCGGTCGGCAGACCACCCCACATGTCGGTCACCTCGTGAGCCAGGTCCAGATATTTTGTTTTCTTGTCTGTTTCGGCTTTCACGAGGTTCTCGTCATACGGAATGGTAATGTCGACCAAAAATATCCTTGACTGTGCCCGGTCCATCAGCACAATATCAGGTTTATTCGCAAGAATAGTCCTGTCTGTGATGATGGCCCGGTCCCAGTAGAGTCTGGCGCGGTCATTTTCGAGCACGGCTTCCGGCAAGTACTTGTAATACGGCAATTTCCGGTCCACGAGACCGTATTTCAGCGCGAGCTCCTGGTGTAGAATTCTGGCTACTAGGTTGTGCCTGTGCAAGTACTCAGAGTTAGAAAGCGCCGAACAACCGGAGATGACATGCCTAAGTGACTCCCCGGGATGGCGACAAGCTCGACAGACGTCGACGGTGCCATCCTTTAGGATGTATCTCCGATAGTTGTTGGTCTTAATAACCTGATCCTGTATTGCACAGACAAAACCCTCGGTTTCCCCGAAGAGGTCACCGAAACGTAGCCAGTTGAGGGAGGCGACTGTATCTACGAATGGCTCATGTAGAGCCTTGTAGTACCTCCCGTGGAGCTCCTTCTCCTTCCATACGGTCTCCCGGTCGGAATTGCTAAGCACTGCTGGGTCCTGCCATTGCTCGTTGGCTAAGGATAGAGGGGTAAGCCCTCTATCACTAGAAATGACGTCATTATAGAATGGATCATCCGATCTCGCCAAGAAGTACTGACGGAGACTGCACACTTCGCGATTATGCATGGTGAGCGCGCTCAGAAAGCCACGCCCACCATACTTTCGCGGCAAGTACAGCCTCATTACCGACGATCTCGGATGATGCATCCTATGGGACGTCATGGTAGTGCGGACTTTTCTATCCAGGGCGTTAAGCTCAGTCTGAGTCCACCTGAGTATGCCAAAGGTATACATGAGGACAGGCATGACCCAGCCGTTATATGCGTGTGTCTTATTCACACCGGACAAAAGGCTGTTAAGCACTTTGGTCAAGCGTGCATAAAACACGTCGCAAACTGACTGTTTCATACCAGCCTCATCGATACCGATGTTCTGTGACATACCCAGGTATCGGTATGTTTCAGCCTCGGAAAGGGTCCTTAAGTTGACGGGCATAGACAAGTCTATGCCCTCAGAGTTAGCAACCCTTCCCCTTTCAATATGGAGGACCGCACACTTATCCGTCCCCAGCTCCTTTCCAATGGAACTGCTAAATTCACAAGTGATGTTTAGCAGTTCCATAAGATGGGAGCGACTGGAGGCGAATAACTTAAGGTCATCCATATAGAAAAGGTGGGTCACTTTTGTCCCTCCTCTCCGTAGCTGAAATCCCCTCCCGGAGCCCTCCAGTAAGGTACTGAGAGGGTTAAGAGAGAGGCAGAACCAGATTGGACTCAGACAATCGCCCTGGAAGATACCCCTTCTTATCCTTATGTGGTTCTCCGCAGCCGTCATCCGCTCGCCCAGATGACAAAGGATCGTACTCCACTGCCCCATACACTGCTCGAGGAAGTCTCTAACTGTACAGTCAATCTTGTACAGCTCGAGGACCCTCTTTAGCCATGTATGGGGCACCGAGTCGAACGCCTTTCTGTAGTCTATCCAGGCGGCAGAGAAGTTCCGACGGTTGCGTTTCACCACTTTGCCTATGACCGCGTCAATGAGGAGTGGTTCCTTAGTTCCACGACCACCGCCCCGACATCCATTTTGAGCGCGTGACATCACCTGGTTTAGCTCCAGGTGACGAGTGATTCTCGCGCTCAAAATGGATGTCAGTGTCTTATATATGGTGGGTAGACACGTGATGGGGCGGTATTTGCTCGGGTCTGTGGTATCTTGATCTTTAGGAACCAAGTGAGTGATCCCAGTAGTGAAGAGGCTCGGGAGTGACTTCTGGTCGAGAGCCTCTTGAAACTGTCGGGCGAGCACAGCGTGACACACTACGAACCCCTTCAGCCAGTAATGATGCAGCCCGTCGAGCCCCGGACTTTTCCAGTTCGGGGCCCTACGGACCGCCTCAGCCACGTCTTCTGGCGTTATGGTGATGGGGTCCATAGGCGTAACACTCGCACCCTGGCTCGCCACAACTTCCATCCAAGGGCCCTCACTGTGGTTTACGGGCTCTGACCACAGGCCACGCCAGAATGCGATAATGTCAGCCTGATCCGGTCCTTGGCCCGCTACACATACCTTTGGTCGCTCCAATAATTTATAGAGCCTCTTCTGATCACTCTGGAAGAGACGATTCTGGTTGAACCGCCTTGACCCCTCGGAAAATCGTCGAATCCGCTTCCCCCAAGCAGCGATCTTTTGCTTCAGGTCGTCTATGCGCTCCGTTAGTTTCTGCGTGATATCCGGCTGGGACAAACTGATATTTGTCCCAGCAAACGCCATTCTAACGGTGCGCATAATCCTCGGTCTATTATTACCCGACCTGAAGCTTGTCAGTCTGCCGATAAGGGCCCTTGCCTTTGCGATACGGTCCTCGATTCTTTTCCTCCAGGCTGGGATGGCGTTACTTTGTGTAGTAGCGCGTCCAGCCATGGGAAGTTTGGCGCCAATAATACGGCAAACTGCCACTGCGGCGCCAAAGAGAATCGAGTCCATCTCGCAAAGGTCCCGGCTGGCTTCCAAATAGGTCACCAGCATTGGGTTAAGAGCCCTCACGACAGCCCGATTTCGCTTGCTTAAGGGTATGCGGGGAAGTCGCGGTCGATTTTCGAGAGGGGTGCCGCGCGTTTCCAAAATCGCCTCTTCCAATATACTCCTCATTTGCTCTAGTTCGTGGGAGACTATTTCATCGTCGTTCGAATCAACCACAACTGGAAGATCCATGGCGGCTTCCACGTGTGGATGCTGGTCTGTCGAATGTGGAGCTGCATCTCCAGCCATAGCCGATTCATTCGACGACGGAATAGCCTCACGTCGTAGTCGTTCGAGTTCGGCATCATCAAATATTTTCGAGCGCATGATGTACCGAACTCGGTCTGCCAGGTTTTGTTCCGTGACGGGGATAGACGGCTCCAGCTCAGCAAAAAAAGCAATGCATCCGAGACCTATACGCTATTCCCACAGTTTCTTCCCCCTTTCGCCCTATAGTACGCCCGCAATGCGTTTTCGTTCATGGATTTTGTCCAACGCATGCGACGTGCTCCACCAGCGGCGGGTGCCGCTTGCTGGGTCCGAGAAGACCCAGCCGACACTAAGCCTTCTGGTGGGGATGATGGATGCGAGGGGCTGCTAGGTGATCGTGCAGCTCCTCGCGCTCGGCTGGCGGCCCGCATGCTGCCGCGTCCAGCGCCAGCTCCAGACGCGCCCCGGCGACCCCCAGGCAGCGGCCCTATGCGCGTTCCTTTTTGTGTTTCTTCCATCATCCATTTTATGGGCGCCAAATAACGGGAGACGCCCAAGCCCGGCACCGTTTCGTGGTTGGGTCATATGCACAAACGGACCTTTGCATCTACAATTTTGCCTAGGGCGCTCACACCTCTTGGCAGGATGCTGACTGACTGCGCCGACGTCGCAGCAGTTTTGTCACATAACTGTTACGTCAGCGGGCGATGGGGTCGTCACTTCCCTACGCCTTTATTTATTATTATTATTATTATTTTGGGGTATCTATATAGTTTTCTCATCTGGTTGGGTGCTATAAATATATAATTATAAATGAAAATGAAAAGACAAATATACATAAATATCAATAACATAAAATAAATATAAAAGTACATAAATAAATAAAAGCCCAACCAGATGGAGGCCCTCGGCAGGGGAGACCAAACGGCCGAGGGTTAGGGGGGAAAGGGAAAGAAACCGGCGGACGATGCGGGCGGTATCGAGGAGCACCGCCTTCTGCATTTGAACCTGGAGCGGTCCGCCACGTAGTCCCAGCCGCCTCAGATGACCCGAGAGGCTGACTGGGATTAGCCCGTTTGCAGAGACGACTACAGGAATAATTTCGGTCGGCAGACCACCCCACATGTCGGTCACCTCGTGAGCCAGGTCCAGATATTTTGTTTATTATTATTATTATTATTAATTAACCCTTGATAGAATCAAAGATAAAAAATAAAAATACAGGTCTGTCTATTAGTTTTTACTTTTTGTTTCATCATCTTCATGTATGTATAAATTCGCTTTCAAGTAAACGCATACCAAATAAAATGAAAAAAAATTGATGAATGAAATGTCATAAATTTCATTTAATTCTATTTTAAATTTCATTTAAAAGGATATAGCCCCCGGAAAGGGTGATTGCTACCAAGCTATTTCTAATATGTTTTGTGTTGTTAATTGTAACATACATGTTTGTAAGTTAGTATTTAAAAAAATAGTCCCGCTGGGTTTCTTGCTGGTTCCTATTAGGACAGAGGATTTTTTGCGAATCAATGGTAAATGAAAAAATATGTGACTTTCAATAAGTATTATTTATAATCCATATTGAATAAAAAAGATTATGTTTCTGTTTCTGCACTGAGTAACTGTACACCTGCATTTTGATTCCGAATAGAAGATAAGTAGGTATCTATGGGCTACGGCACTCACTTACTGTTTGTTTGTTTGTCAACCTTATATAAAAATCTAATAAACAAAAATTCCTTAAATACCAAATGAATAAAATTCCTGAACGTCTAGTCGTGAACAATAATTCAAAAGATATGAAATAAATATTTAAAAAAAATATTAATACTGTATTTAAAATCGGTAGTACCACGCTGTTGTAGCATTATGGCTGCGGCAAAAATTTCAGAAATGCATGCTTTATATCTCTGACGCGTTCGTATGGTGAGCGACGGTAACCGAAAACTTTTTTCACTTTTAACGAGGCATTACCTATATCATTAGTTAGCTAGCATTTGCTAGCTCAGAGCTCAACACTCGCCTTAATTTCACTGTAGGCAACTTATGTACAACTGTACGGGGAGTGCTCTGAGGAATCGTTCGGGTTAATTCCAGTCACCAAATTTCACGAACGCACACCGCGTCAAAATTCACGATACCATCCACACCATCTGGATGCTTAGCGTTCCACCACTGTGCGTTTTACTAGGAGTTTTATTCATCGTACACCTTCTCTGTGGAATTGTTTACCATTGGCGATTTTTCCGAACCAATACGACTTAGAGACGTTCCAGGAAAGAACTTACTTCTCTCTAAAATGCCGGAAACACACCTGCAATATCCTTGGTGTTGCGGTTGTTCATGGGCGGCGGTATTCACATACCATTAGGTGAGCCGCATGCTCGATTGCCACCCCTCCACAATAAAAAAATACCGCAGCAACCACTTACTACATTAAGTGTACTGTGCGTTAATTTTTTACCCTTATGAAGCTCCGGTATTGACCATTCAAACGCAATTAATTCACCAATACGAAGCCGATAAAAGTGTATTTTCAAATTGAGGTTATTCATCAGTGCGAAGCTGGCGGGACTATTTTCCATAGTTGCCTCGCTTGGCAGGTGGGTTGGCAAGCACCGTTTTTTATTACTTAGAATGAATACATTATAAAGTTGTATCTAAGAGATGCTAGATAATAACGTTCAGGTAATGGATATCTTACACCGCCACTACGTGAGTGTGCAGGTGAAATGCTTCAATGCGAAGCCGGCGCGAATCAATTTAAATTTTATTACTTACTGTTTTAAAAAGAGTGAAACTTTGTGCTCATAGAAGAGTATAACCTAATATTCAGCATTTTTATTTGCTTTATGTGACACGAAAATTTATATTTATTTTAATAAAAATACTACAATATTTTCTGTTGAAAAGGTCTTATCTTAGGTACTTGATCTTACTTTCTTTAAAATGAGCTTCATAATGTTTATGAAAGTTCCAAGTGGCCCCTGGAGCGTGAAAAGTCCTTTTATCCGTTAAGTTTATTTACGTTTTAGCTACATTTCTGTTTGAAAATTTTAAGTTATCTCATATAAAAATCTTCCCGTGTCACTGTCACACAAACACTCCATCTAAGACTTAAGCGAGGATTATAGTTTCAGTAAATGGGTACTCTCATTACTACGCAGCAAATGTTTTGTTGTAACAAAACCATTATGTATAAGCTAGATATTTTTTAAGATTAATTAAAAGACAGTTTACTGTACAAGTAATGGTGACAATTGCAACGACATTTTAATGAAAAATTAAAATTTATTGTGCGCTTGTTGTTAAACGAAAACCGATGAAAAAAAAAACATTAAAAATATTAGAAGACATCCTAAAACCTATATAGAGGTGGTCTAAACATCTAAATTTATTAAAATGCAATTGCGTTACCACTCCTAAAGACTGAGACATCATGTCTCCCGGTTCCCCGGCACTTGCGAATCACAATCCAAAATACATCAATATTATACTGTTATTATTGAAGATATAAGGATATGTAGAGCATTAGTGCTTCGGAGAGAAATTACAAAATAGGAGTTTATATTTAAATTTAAAGAAAATGTCTATATGTCTTCTTTCATCTTCTCGTCTTTCATTATCTCTTTCATCTTTGATTTGATTTTGCAGCGTATTTATTTGTTTTTCAAAGAAACTCAGAGCATAATATGTAACTGATGCCACAGTGGTAAGATCATACACAATGGAGTATGATACAATAGAGTATGATGCAATTGTAGTATACCGTCAATTCCACAATACAAGCCCATATGCTTTAGTGTATCTTACAGTCACAGTTTAAGAAGAACATGTAGTTAGACTGTGTAGTGAGAGTTAGAGTGTGTGGTAAAGTATAACAGTATACAACACTGGCATATTATGGAAAAAGTTGCGAATTATTTGCAATTGGTCAAGCTAACACGCATAGTCCCTAATCACTATAATAAATATTAGTGAACGCGTTACTTTATATACACTCGTTACATTGAGCACATGCTTTATAAAAACAAATTAACTTTCTCGTTCTTATGAACTCGTTTAAAAAATCCTCACTAAAAAAAGAAGAGGCCTAAGTTCATTTTTCTTAATTGAGAATATATGTAGATGTCTACGTCTACGTTCGTTACCCTTATTCTACATAAACTAAAAATACTCGTTTTCGTTAGACGTTTTCAAGCTAATGGACTCGAAAAAAATAAGGTATACAGTACGTCATAAAGTCATTACGTACTAAATCCTTAGTTTAAAAAAAACACGGAGGGTAATCGTTCTGCAGGACTATTGTATTTCTTTATTTACATCAAAATTATGACCACTTTACAGTATATTGCACAGTATCTTTTATGAGCCGTTGTTACTTTTCTAGGAGAGCTACATAACAAACGATGCAATATACTAATAATTTACTATAATTTTGATGTCAATAATGATAGCGAATAAGCATGCTGATCCCACGTACGTGTTCGTCTCCCACATGAAACAAATATTTGTATAGCACATAAAGCATAATTTCAAACGGAATCTGGATGATTTATTACGGACGATGTTTGTGTCTTACGCATGGTTACGGTGTAAGAATATCCAATACACCATATCGTCCTTTAGGTATCGTAAGAGGCGCCAGTAGGAAATTGAAACAGAAGTTAGGATAGGTTTTTATACGTGGTAGAGCCATGCTGCAATTATATTAGTAGTATAGTTGTAGCATGAATGGGTCGGCTCAACAGGGGAAGGACCATGCTTTCACAGAATACAAGCGTAATATAGTAGCTTAATGCTGCTGTGTTTCATATGGTGAATGTAGAAAACCGGAGACCCTTTTTACTGGAAAAAAGGAATTCCATCTTAGTCCTCACGGGTGACAACGCATCTGCATGTTTATTCGTAATCGTGAATATAAGTACATGTCTATGGACCACAACAACCACTTACCATCAGGTAGACTGTCTGCTCGTTTGTCACCCTATCCTATAAAAAAGGCAGCAGCATCTGCCTGCCAAGCTGGACAACTCTTGTAAAACTTCTCCTATGAGGCAACCTTTATATAAAGTCTATGTTCAATAGTGAACAGCATATAAATTGTTTAAAAC